AACAGAGGAATGATAATTGCACCAACCTTTCAACACCCATTTATATCTACTCTCCTCTCCCTGAAGGGTTGCAGAGATGTGTTTGTGTGTAAATCCAAATATCTACTGAGCCAGAGAGGCTAGGAAACTGCACCTTTATAGGACCTTGACAGAATTTAATCTGTCTCATGGTTATTAAAAGGCTGGGTTACTCTTCAGATAACTAATTGGAGAGAACATGAGGGAGTTAATTTAGCTCAAACAAGCCCAGACTTTCTTGAAGCTAAAACTAATCTCTCAAGGTTAGATGACTGACTCAGATAACTTGGTTTTGGAGTCCCTTTTTTACCCCTCAGCCCCAAGACCTAGCTAAGTATGCTGTATGAATGAACCTGGATGTAATCTAGTAACAGTCAATGTTATGAACTCATGATTTGCTACTCTGGAGAGGCTACATATGTCTTGCTATTTTGTCAGTGTTTGGAGAGCTGAAGCTGCCAAGCAAACCTATTAAAATACCATAGATTGAAAGAATATTTTTTTTCCAAGCGACAATACAATTCATAGTACAGCATCTTTTACAGAGCCAGACATTGCTCAAAGGGTAATTTAATTCTTGTGGATTTTCTGCCTGATTGCTGAAAGTGTGCCACGAGTGTCTTTTAGCTATTGAATGATTGGCATACTGTTGGGCTAATTGGGAGAAAATGCTGCACTCAGGAAACTCTAACTTCTTTTGAAATCTCCAACAGCACAAGAGGGAGATTGACAGACTCCAGAGAATAATTTAAAAGACATAATAGAATATAGAACAGAATAATAGAGCTGGAAAGTCTTTCAACAACTATTGCAATTCCAAGAAACAACAAACCCACTCTTGCTTCGAAATTTCTCAACAAAGGAAACAACACTATTTCCCAGGATAGTCTGTTGCTGTATCTACCAATTCAAACTGTTCAGAATAGCCTTCTCCAATTTAGTGCTGTCCAGATGTGTTGGCATTAGAATTTCCTATTACTCTACAGCAGGGGTCCCCAATCCCCGGCCCATGGACCAGTACCAGGCTGCGGTATGCCAGCAACCAGGCCCCACAAACAAGCAAAGCCTCATCTGCAAGATGCAGGCAGCACACAAAATCATGCACTCTCTGGTCCGCAGAAAAACCTCTCTCCACGGAACTGTTCCCAGGTGCCCAAAAGGTTGGGGACCTCTGCTCTACACAGCCTGTCCACAGCCAGGGTACCAAGAATTCACACAAATGGATTCCCAGCATATTTACAGGGCATCATATCTTGAACCTTGTATTTGAAGAAAACATTTCCCAATTCAGCATTATTCTTCTTGTCATATATTTTAATAAATCAATAAACCTAACAAAAAAAATTCTCACATATATACATTTCTCAATGACCTGCAGAAGAGCAAAAATCTGCTTTGCCATCCATCTATCAGCATTTCCAGAACTTTATCCACTAGCACCTCTAGTACCCTTTCAATCAGAATTTAGGCAGTTTCCCAGGTATACTTAACTGAATCTCTTGTAATACTTGCATTCACACTTGCTACCTTTCCTTTTGGACAGGAGAACAATAACAGTATTCTTCCAATTGACAGACACAGATGCACTATTCACACACATAATAAAGTTACACAGTTATTCCCTTTGAACCCTATTTTAATCTCATAACATTTCTCTGGTGCATCATGTGCGGACCTACAATTTTTGAACATATTCACAATGTATGGCTTTTTCATTCATTCTGGTAGACTCTTAACATTTATACTTTTACTATAATTTCGTCTACTTTTTCCTTTCTTTTCTGCCTACTTTTCCTCCCAATGATCCACTTTTTTTACCCCCAAATAATAGTCCATCTAACATTCAAAACCTCTTATTACACTTGTATCCTATACTAATTCTCTTAATTTTATTATTTTTAATATCATTCTTCCTCAAACAGATTCATACTCAAATTATGTATTCAAGACAAACCATAAAACAATGTGATTCTAAACAATCACTTTTTCTAAGCAGATATGTGCTAGTCACCTCTCCTGTTCATTTTCTGAATGTGCCTATCACTTTTTCTAACTCTCCTACATCATTCCCATACATCCTTTCATGTCACATAATGGGATAAATTTTCCCTTATTCATTCACCATATTGTACAATTTTTCCCAAACTCATCCCTGATTTGTTCTTTATCACCATTCGCTGGAAAATAACATAAAAGTATCAAGACTTCAGACTCCTACTTTCATATGCATTCACAAGTTACATTGCAGCAATTCATACTTCGACATCTTTATTTACTTATTCTGAAATTTATATGCCATCAATTTCATTTATATGCTAATTCATAATAAATGAAGGCGCCATTGAGATGGCCAGAGACATTAGTTGAGATGGGTGGCTATGAATAAACGAATGAATAAACACACAAACAGTTCTACAACAAAACGCAACTCAACATTGAATAATGTAGCAGTAAGATGACTGTTCAAATCCAAAAGTCATTCTGGAATAATTTAATCTTAACTGTCTTACAGAAGGCTGGCAAGATAGGGTCTACTCTAATATATATTCTAGCATTGGTGCTATAACATAAAAGCATTGTCTTCTCCCTTTGGCCCTCCTTATCTCAAGAAAACACTGGATTAGTAGGATTTCAGACTCACAAAACTGATGTCAGCTTTGCAAGGTAGTTCATTCAAAAAAGCAAATCCAGAAGAACTAGCTTTATTTTATTGTAAGGTTAACAGATGAACAGAATCTTGCAAATGTGAAAGTACATCTCTCTCTCATTGCCTTTACAGCCCAAGAAACTAGGCAGGATCCTTCTGAAATGTTTGCCATGCCCATGTTGCTTTTGTGGGCTA